TGTTTTTTTTTTAAAAGTAAAATTAGTATAAAATGTGGTAGACAGAGTAACGACACTCACAGATGTCTCTGTCTTGACCCGAAGAGCCTACTATTGGTACTTGACAAGGGTGATTCAGGTCACAGAAGAATCAAGATGCCGTATCAACGGGCCTTAAAATAAGAGAATTACCTGGGATCATCTGGATGCATTCACTGTAACTGCACGGTTCTTTTTAATAAGAACAAGGCAGCCAGTGTCAGAATGATGCACTGTAAGGAAGACTGGACTGGTTTTGAAGAGAAAATAGGCACATAAGCACTCCTAGAAATATGGGAATCCTCAGGAACTAGAAAGAGCAAAAACTGCGTTTTCCTTGAGAGGCTCCGGAGGGGATCAGAACTGTTGGCTCTTGTACTTTAACCCAGTGAGACCCATTTTAGACCTCCGATATCTGGAACCTAACATAATATGCTTGTTATTTTAAGCCAGTAAATATGTTTCATGGCAGTGGAAAAGTAACGCATATAGTAGAATATATAGACCTTAAATGTATAGTTTGTTAAGTCTTAGCAAACGTCACCCAGGGAGCCAACCAACTTACAGGTGTTTGCAATCCACTGAAAGTTCTTTCACTGACCCCTTCTGTTCAAAGCTCTTTTTCCCCAAAGGAGATAATCATGGTGCCAATTTCTATCTACTTTTGTCTGTGTTTTACCTTAATACACACAAAATCATATTCTTTCTTGTGGGGAAAAAAAAACCCTTACTTTTTTTTTTTGTTTTCAACAAACCGACTTTGAGACTAATCCAAATCTATTCTAGTAGTTGTTCCGTCCTTTCTCTTGCATGATACTTTGCTTTTAAAAATACACTGCTAGGTCACATCAGGACCATGCCTTGCATGCCTTTTCTCTCATAATCTGTCAGTCGGAGGAGTGACAGCGCTAACCCAGATTCAGACTGATGGAGAAGCACTTCTCCTGGATGTAGTTGGTAAAGACTCTGTTATGAACTAAATTGTGTTCTCACCTCCCACACCCCAGAGGTCCCCCTATGGTTCTAGTGTTCCAGAATGTGATGGTATTTGGAATCATGACCCTTAAAAAATTAAGGTAAAATCAGGTCATAAGGGTGACTTCCAATTCAATACATCTTTCGATTTCAATTCAATATATAATAGGAACAATGTATAATGTTCCTATTAAGTTGTGAGAATTTCATACAACATATTTTGCTCATATTTACCCCTCCTCCTAACTTCTCTTACATCCACTCTCACCCCCCTAGCTCCCATCACTTTGTGTACTTTTTTTTTTTAACGGTAACCCATTGAGTCCTATTTATGCTGCCCCCACACTCCTAACTGTGAAGCCATCTACTGGAGCCCAGCGGCCCTCCCAGGAGCCACACCCTTAAAGAAAATTGACTTTCCTCCCCTCGAGAAACCATCAGCTCTCCATAGCTCTTCAGTTACTGGGGAGGGGGGATCCTTAGGAGTCTCTTCCTCTTCCATGCTGGAACGTTATCTGGCTTGATCTTGTGCAGACAATTACAGCTGCTTGCATCATGAGTCATGATTACATCAGTCCTATCGTGTCCAGATGACAGTTCTGCTCTAGGTCTTCCAGACCACTGGCTCTTCCGGTCTTCCTGCTTCTTTTCTGTGACGGTCCCTGAGCCTTTGGGGTGTGTGTATGATACTGAGGTTCCTTTTGTGGCTGAGCATTCAACTCTCTGCACTTTGACAAGTTCTGAGTTTCTACATTAGCCATCTCCATTATACAATAAACCTTCCTTGATGAGGTCTGAGGGCCCCACTAATATATGGATATAGAGATAGGAATTCAGAAGGCAGTTTGTCTGTTTAGCAGAATTATAGTAGGTTTATTCCTGGAGCCTGTGAGCTCACCAACCCTGGATTCTTGGCCAGATTTACAGTACCATGCGTGTGTTTCCTCCTATGGAAGAAGCCTTAAATTCAATCAGAAATGCTGGTTACCCCCATAGCATTCATAGCACAATTATACCCATGGGCATGTCCTCTCAGTCATTGCCGTAGCTCACAGGGTTCATAGCTGGGTAAGACTGTTGGTGACTTTTTAGCCCCCTCACCCTGTATAGTACTTTTCAGGAATATGCAAGCCAGCCAGAGAGGAGGAAGCTTTCTGGTTAGTACACTTGATTTTTCCCTGTCCTGTATTCAGTGCGTGTGTTCAGCAATAGAGTTCCGGTGGACAACTAAACACTGTGGCAACAGAATGTATTGTTTTGGGGACTCTGGAATACTTTTAACCAACAACTTGATGGGAAACATCTCACGTCTGGCACTGGACTCTTTATTTGGCAATCTGTGGCTTCTGGAAGGAGCATTATCCCATGTAGAGTAACCCCAAGTGCTCTCTCTCTCTCTCTCTCTCTCTCTCTCTCTCTCTCTCTTTCTCTCTCTCTCTCTCTCTCTCTCTCTCTCTCTCTCTCTCTGTGTGTTTAGAAAGCTTATAAAATAGTTTCAGTATGACTTTTTGAAATATTAATGTTACTATCTATCACTCTACTCTTTCCTCTGCCATACCCTTCCATCTCTCTCCACATCTAAACCTCTTTCCTGTAGTTGGATTTCTTTTTTTACTCTTTGCTCTTTGGGGGGCCTGCCACCCAGCTCCCAAATAATTACACAGAGGCTTATTCTTATTTACACATGCCTGGCCTTAGCTTGGCTTGTTTCTAGCTAGCTTTTCTTAAATTATCCCATCTACCCTTTGCTTCTGGGCTCTTATCTTTCTCTATTCTATATATCTCTCTTTACTTCTTACTCCATGGCTTGCTGTATAGCTGGGTGGCTGGCCCCTGGTGTCCTCCTTGCCTCCTTTTCTCATTCCTTATCTTTTCTTCCCAGATTTCCCCTCCTATTTATTCTCTTTGCCTGCCAGCCCCGCCTATCCTTTCTCCTGCCTCACTATTGGCCATTCAGCTCTTTATTAAACCAATCAGATGTTTTAGACAGGCAAAGTAACACAGCTTCTCAGAGTTAAACAAATGCAACATAAAAGAATGCAACACATCTTTGCATAATTAATCAAATATTCCACAGCATAAAAAAGTAACACATCTTTAACTAATATTCTACAATACTTTCCCTGTATTCTTCCCTTCTTCATATCATCTATGTGCTAGTATCCTCCCTCAAGAGTCCCCCAAGAGTCCCTTTCTAGCTTCCTGGATTCTATAGGTGCTGTAAATTAAACACACAAATCAAAAGGTTTGATGCTTAAGATCCTCATATAAATGGGAGCATTTTTCTGGCTCTGGGTTGATTCAGTCAGGGTAATGTTTTCCTGCACCACCCATCAGTATGCTTTTAAAGATGTGATGTTAGAAAAGATACACAAAAGGAAGACCTATGGAAGACACAGAACAAAGACGGTGACCTAAGAATTAGGACAAGAGGCCTCAGAATGAAGCCAACAATGACATCATGAGTTTAGATATTTATCTTCCAGAGCTATGAAGAAATTGATTCTTGTTCTTTAATTCACCCAGTCTGTGGTATTTGCAGCAGCCCAAGTGAAGGGATGCAGACCCATTGTAGAGACCCACATTCTGTGCCTGCAGCTGGGTGTGTGGGTCAGGCCTGATGCCCACGGAGGCTGAGGCAGGAGGATCAATACAAGTCTGGGGCTGGCCTGACCTACACAGTGAGTGTCTGGGCTGCAGGTTAGACCTTGCCCCAAAAACCTTAAAGATCTTTATTTTCTGTTTGTCCCATGTATTTTGTTTTGTGTTGTTTTTTTTTTTTTTAAGACTTTTGCTCTTCTTTTCTCTTTCCTGTTTTCTTTTGGCTCAATTGATTACATTTTACAAGTTTCTCTCTTTCTCCTCTCTCTGTCTCTCTCATTTTTTCCCTTTCAGTTCTAATTCTCTCCTATTTCTTTAGGATTGTTCTAAGGACGATGTTATGTGCTTTTCATTTACCACAACCTACATAGAATCAGCATTACATTAAACTAATATTTAAGACACTTAATGGAAATATATTTTCCATTCTTTCCATATTTCTCTCATATATTGTAAAGATTATAATATAGCATTACCATTGTTTATAAACAGTTATATCTGTTACTTTCATGTCAGGGGACAAAATATCTGATAGAAACCACTTCAAGGGGGCAAGTTTACTTTTGTCTCAAGGTCCTAGAGGCTTCATTCTGTTGTGCAGGAGTAGACAGGAGAATTAATGGTGGCAAAGCATATGGAGGAGTCTCCTTAGATATTGGAACAGAGTGTGAGGCCAGAACCAGGGACCAAGTTGTATCGTTCAAATGCCTGCTTCTCGTCTCCTGTTTTGATTAGCCGAGTCGCTCCAAGGGTTCCTTTCTCAATCTCCCAAACCATGAACATGTGGTGAACGTTCCAGATTCAAACCATAGCAATAGCAATTGTCTTAAGACACAAAGAAAGCAGACCTTTTTACCTACCCACCCTTGTACCTAAAACTTTGGGACATTTTTCTTTTTTTTTTCCTTCAGATTTAATGTTCTGTGGAACATTTGTTTTTAACCCAAAGGATTTCCTTTAGTACTTCTTAAAATAACTGACTGCCAATTTTTTTTCTTAGTTTTTACCACCAGATTGAATTATAAGCTGATAGGTTTTAATTTTTTTTTCATTGTTTGAGATGGGGTTTCTCTGTGTGTATCTCTGGATATCCTGGAACTTGCTTTGTAGAGCAGTCTGGCCCCGAACTAACAGAGATCCACCTCCATGTGTCTCCTGAGTGCTGGGATTAAAGGTGTGCACCACTACTGCCTGGCTGAGATTTTTTTTTTATTCTTAAAAGTTTATTTTATTTTCAATTATATATATATATATATATATATATATATATATATATATATATATATATATATAATTACTACCACTTTGCTGGACTAGAATAATTCTTAACTACAATCTAAATCTTATTCTTATATACACAAGTAAAGGCAGCTATCACCCCACCTCACAGAAACTTCTCTTTACAGCAAATGGAGACACTATAGAAAACCGCAGCTGGACCCACCACCAGTTGGATACATCTGCTTCACAGTTCCTGCATCTACGGCTCAGAGAACATTTCAGAAGAGGGGGGTGGAAAGATTGTAAGGACTGGAATTCCAGGAAGTGTGCTGTAAGACAGTCTCCCTTAGAGATGGCTGCATAAACAAGACCCGAACAGTGGCAATTATCCATAGACACGCTGATGCAGAAGGGAGAAGATCTCACTGGGTCCTTCCCACCCCTAGACAAGGAACTATAGGAAACTGATGACTGCTGGGAGAGGAAGAATTAACATCTGCCAGGGATGAGCCCCCTAATTAGTTGTCCAATACAGAATGGTCAGCCCTGAAATGACATATGCACAAGCAATGAAATAAACTCAGTATGCTGTATTTATATATCAGTGTACATGTGCACATCGTGGTAATAATCAGAAAGAAGACGATATCAATTTGAGAGGGGGACATGGAAGAAGCTGGAGGGAGGGGACTTGGGAAGGGATGGAAGGAGGAAAAGGAAGGGGAAAAGTGATGTACTTTATTTTAATTAAAAATGTATTAATATATGTAAATAAATATAATATAAAAATAAAGTGTTTTATTTTAATTTACATGTATATGTGATTTTTATGTGGGGATAGGTACACATAAGGGCAGGTGCCCACAGAGGCCAGAAGAGGGTGCTGGATCCTCTGGAGCTGGAGTTACAGGTGGTTGTGAGTGATCTGATAGGAGTATGGCAAACAGAACTCTGCTCTTCTGCATGAGTGGTACGTGCTCTGAGTTGCTAAGCCCTTTCTTCAGCCCCAATTTTTCTTGTCTTTAATGGCCACATCACGTCTCCTACACTTCCTTGCAAATTCATAGGTTGAAATCCTAACTGCTAGCACCCCATTGTGTGACCTTACTGGTACACAGGGTCTTTGTATCAATAACTCATATAAAAACCAGTGGGATGCCTTCTCTTAGGATGACTGTTGTCAATATAAAACAGGGGAATCTGAGCACTAAGATCTGCATGAGAGATGATGTGAATTAGACACAAGGAAGGGGCACCCAAGTAGGGTAAGATTTTGTGTTCAGTGCAGATTACTGGAGACCCTCCACGGTGCTTCCTTTTGGGAGCCACACAAATCCAGTCTTCAATACTCTCAAACTTCTCTGCCTTCTCAACTCACTGAAATCATGTTTTCTTTCTGGGCACATCTCTCTGAGTAGTCTGGAACTGTACTGACCAAGAAAAAACTGCAAAGAATGTGTAACTCACTTGAGTGTTTCCTATGTTCTGTGCATCAAAACCAGTGCTGAAAAAAAAAATCCCCTCATGTAATTCATCCCATGTTATGGTTATTTATGGTGGAAGAGTTTATTTATTTATTTATTTATTTTACTTAATCATGAACACAAATGGAAGTCCCATACTAGATACAATGCTATGTATAAATAAATGAATTTGACTTCTTTTTTTTCTTTCTCAGTATAGAGTCTGTGGCAGTTGGCACTAAATCAATGTTTATCATACAGTTTTAAATATTTCAATAAGACTCCCTGGAAGCCTGCCTGCCACAATGGCAAAGGAATCGGGTAGATGATCTTCACTTTTACTCCTCCCCTCCAATTCCAGTCCCCTTGTCCTATCCCCAGCTTTGTGGCAGAGACTTTGCTGCAGCCTCCCCTCTCTGCCTGCATTCCCAGGGGATCCTGCAGACCTCCTACAGCCTTCCTTCACCACTCCATCCCTTGGTCTGGGCCTTCAGCTCCTGCAGGCACTCCCTGAGAACCCATTAGCCGTGCTGGCAAAGGAATCAGGCCATCTTCATTCCCCCTCCTTTCCTCCAATTCTGCCCCCCCCCCCCCGCCCCAGTCTTACCCCAGCTTTGTGGCAGACTACCTGCTGTGCCTTCCCTATCCACTCTGCCCCAGTTTCCAGAGGTCTACACAGATGCTGGTGACTTCTTTCTTCCCTCCTGTGGACCCTCTCAGCCACCAACCATCCCGCTCCCCACAAGCATCCAGCACATTCTCATTCATAGTGTCAACTCCCAATACCTAGAAACACATTGTACCCTGGATCTCCAGTGGCCATACCTGGTAGGCTCTCAGAAGCTACCTTTCCCTACCAGGCAAAACACAACTACTATACTCTCTTAAGAACCAGAGAAGGCAACAGAAACCAAGGAACAGAACATCCATCAAGCAAAGACAAGACAAGACATCAACACCTAGAATTAAAATCATCCAAAGCCCAGATGCCTAGAGACCAGCATAAAAACACAATAATAGCCAAGACAATAGGTCTCCATTAGAGCCCAACAACCCTGCTAGCATAGGCCCCAAGAAAACTAATATAACTGAAGCACAAGACGAAGACTTCAAAATCGCTATTATGAATATGTTCAAGGGCCTTAAATAGGATATGAGTAAATCCATTTACAAAATCTATGCAACACAAATAGTAGAATGGAATGAAGAAAATTGCTCAAGACATGAAAGAGGAAATGAAAGCAACAAAGAAAACCCAATCTGAGGGAAAACTGGAAATTAAAAATTTAGAAATTCAAACAAGAACCTCAGAGGCAAGCCTCACTAACAGAATGCAAGAGATGGAAAAAAAAAGTCTCAGGCATTGAAGACAAGATTGAAGAAATGGATACCTTGCCCTACCCCAAAATGTTAAATCAAAAAAAAAAAAAATCCAGGCACGAACCATTCAGGAAATCTGGGACAAGGTGAAAAGACAAAATCTAAGAATAATAGGAATAGATGGAGGAGAAGAAATATTTCAAAAAATATTTTCAACAAAGTCATAGAAGAAAATTACCCTAACCTAAAGAAGGAAATGTCCATCAAGGTACAAAAACACATGGAATACCAAATAGCCTGGATAAGAAAAGAAATGTCTCATGACACACAATAACTAAAACAATAAACTTGCAGAACAAAGAAAGACTATTAAAAGTTGCAAGTGAAAAAGACCAAGTAACAAAAACAGATCTAACCCAACTTTTCAATGGAGACTCTAAAAGCTATAAGGGCCTGAAGGAATGTTCTACAAACTCTTAGAGATCACAGATCCCACCCAGAATACGATACACAGCAAAACTTTCAATAACAATAAATGGAGAAAGAAAGACATTCCACAATAGAACAAAATTTAAGCATTATCCATCTATAAATCCAGCTCTACAGAAGGTACTAGAAGGAAAACGTCAACCTGAAGAGGTTAGCCATATCCAAGAAAACACAAGGAATAAATATCAGCCAGCAAATAAAAAGAAGGGAAGAAAACCCACAGCACACTAACAAAATAGCAGGAATCAACAAACACTGATCATTGATAACTATTAACATCAATTGTCCCAATTCCCCAGTAAAAAGATACAGACTAGCAGATTGGATGTAAAAACAGGATCTATGCTCCTGCTGAATCTAATAAACACACTTTAACACCAAGCAGAGACATCATCTCAGGGTAAAAGGATGGAAAAAGATATTCCAAGTAATGAAACCAAGAAACAAGCCAGTGTATCCATTTAAATATATGACAAAATAGACTTCAAGCTAAAACTTAACAGAAGAGATAAGGAAGTACACTACATACTCATCAAAGGAAAAATCCAGCAAGAGGATATGGCAATTTTAAAATAATTTCATGTACCAAACACAAGGGCACCCATGTTTATAAAAGAAACACTACTACAGCTAGAATCACATGTTGACCCTTACACAAAGTGATAGTGGGTGACTTCAATACTCTACTCTTACCAATAGACAGGTTATTTAGACAAAAAGTAAACAGAGAAATGCTGGGGCTAACTGATGTCATAAACCAAATGGACCTAGCAGATATTGACAGAACATTTTTACCCCCCAAAGATGAATGCACCCTCTTCTCAGTAGCTCATAGAACTTTCTCCAAAAGTGACCACATAGTTGGACACAAAGCAAATCCCAATAGAGACAAGAAAATTGAAGTAACACCCTGCATCCCATTTGGCCACCATGTCTTAAAGCTGGATATCAACAACAACAGAAAGCTTACAAACTCATGGAAACTGAACAACTTGTTACTGAATGAAAAATGGGACAAGACAGAAATTAAGGAAGAAATCTGAAACATTTTAGAATTGAATGAAAATGAAAACGCAGCATACCCAAACTTATGGAACCCAATGGAGGCAGTTCTAAGAGGCAAGTTGACAGCTCTAAGTGCCTACTTAAAAAGTTACAGAGATCTCTTATATTTTTGGTTGTGAGCCTAGCCTTTAACGGCTGAGCTATCCCTCCAGCCGGGCGGTGGTGGCGCACGCCTTTAATCCCAGCACTCGGGAGGCAGAGCCAGGCGGATCTCTGTGAGTTCGAGGCCAGCCTGGACTACCAAGTGAGTTCCAGGAAAGGCGCAAAGCTACACAGAGAAACATTGTCTCGAAAAACCAAAAAAAAAAAAAAAAAAAGTTACAGAGATCTCATATTAATTACCTAACACCACATGTGAGAAGCTCTAGAATACCAAGAAGAAATAACAAGTAAGGGAGTAAAATGGCAAGAAAGCACTGAATTCAGGGCTAAAATCAGTAAAATAGAAGCAAACTCAAAAATTAATACAAAGAATCAATGAAACAAAGAATTGATATTTGAGAAAATCAATAATAATGATAAACCCTTAGCCAAATTAAAAGGCTGAGAGAGACAATCCAAATGAATAAAATGAGAGATGGAAAGAAGGACATAACAACAGACACTGAAGAAGTCCAGAGAATTGTAAGGGCCTACTTTAAAAACTCGTGCTCCACCAGATTGGAAAATCTAAAACAAACGGATAATTTTCTTCATATAGACCACCTACCAAGGTTAAGTCAAGAACAGAGAAGCAATTTAAACAGACACATAGTCACTGTATAATCAGTAGTCTTCTTATATACTAATAACAAACAGACTGAGAAAGAAATTAGGGAACTAGAAGCAGTAATTAAAAGTTGCCCAACCAAAAACATACCCAAAGCCAGATGGTTTTAGTACAGAATTCTATCAGACTCTTGAAGAAATAGCACTAACACTCCTCAAATTATTCCACAAAATAGAAACAGTAGGAACATCACCCAATTCTTTTTATGAGGCCACAGTTACCCTGATACCTAAACCACATAGAGACTCAACAAAGAGAATTACAGACTGACTTCTCTTATCAACACAGATGTAAAAATTCTCAATAAAATACTTGCAAACTGAACACAAGAAAAAAATCAAAAAGACCATTCACTGTGATTAAATAGGCTTTATCCCAGAGATGCAGAAATTGTTCAACATAGGAAAAACAGTCAATGTAATCCACTGCATAAACAGACTCGAAGACAAAAATGTGATCATGTGATCTTCTCATTAGATGCAGACAAGAACTTTGACAAGATCCAACACCCCTTTATGATAAAAGTCCTAGAGAGACTAGTGATACAAAGGACACACCTCCAAATAATAGAGGCGATTTATTGCAAATCCATAGCCAACA